CATTGTCTTCGTTTATATTCCCCATCTCCTTATACAACTGAGAGTTCCCTGAGAGTAGTGACTATCTTTAATTCATTTTTGTATCCTGAGCCTAGTAGAAGGCCCAGCATATTTTATATAATAAAAAAAAAACAACCTATTTTTAAATGTAAGCCATTGATGAAACACAAATAGCCAAGTGCTGGGGATTATTGAAATGGGATGATGGGTACATGGAAGTTTCCTATGTTATTCACTGCGCTTCTTGTGCATAAAATTTTCCAAAATAGAAAGTTCAGAATAATTCAAGACCTTGTAAGATGTGAGATATATCCATCAGAATTGTACACCCTAAGTGGAGCTACTGTATCTATAGCTACAACCTTTGTATGTCCCACATTTTTTTCTATTCTCATGAAAAATATATTTAAAACCAAACATGTAGCTCTGAAATAAAATATAATTATGCCATGTTAGAACAGGTGTAGACCAAGGGTATTATGTCAAACATGAATTTCTGGAAAAACTAGAAACTGACAGTTTACACTAAGTATTTTATTAAGAATGATATTCTGTGGATTTATGTCCTTGTTGTCTCTCAGCTGAATTGTTCCAGAAACATAACTGGAGCTTCTGCTTCCACCCTCTTACCTCTGAACCATCTTTCCATAGTCCCAGGTTGACCCACCTAAAACACTGGTCTGTTCTAGTGAGCGCTTCAGCCACATCTCACATTTCAACATTCCCACTCCCGTGAGCTGCAAGCCGCGGCCCTTACCCATGAAAGCTGCCTCCTGCCAGTGCTTCGGGTCACAACGCAAGCTCTTTGCTTTGCCTGAAATGTTTTCTGCCCGCTCTCCAATCTGGGAAAGCTTCACACACTGCAATGCCCTGTACGGGCTGTTGGTTTGCCACGACGCCTTCCCTCGAGCCCTTTCCAGAAGGCACTAGTCCATCTGCACCGCCGCACGCCGTTTCTCTGGCTTATGCCCACCGCTTATTCCTTCTATCTATTTGGTAATTAGTAGTGTCCTTTACTAGAAAGAAAGCTTACGGAGGGTACTTTCCTTTGCAACTCCCTCAGTCAATGCCTACCACTGAACCCTGTGCATACGCTATTTTGCCGTGTATGATGCGCACCCACGTCTTTGGCCCAAACTTTCAGGGAAAAAAGTGTTTCATTTTAATTTTTTAAATTCAGTTATTTACTATTTATATTTAGAAACAAAACCGATTATTTTATTCCAGGGTATTATTTTGATACGGATATCATTATTGTTTTCTAGAGTTACACTTTTAACACATAAGCATAAATAAAAGAATTAAAAACATTTATATAGATATGGAAATAGTACTCCCAATGTATAATGCACATCTTTATTTTTTCCTCAAAAATTTGGGCAAAAAAATGCTCATTATACATGGCAAAATACAGTATTTAGAATTCAGTAAGATATATCGTTCATGCTAACCTATGAAATAATGAGATTAATCTGGTGAGTATTCTTCCTGCTCCCCTTATGAATAAATGGATGTGTATAAAACCTCTAATCATTATATTAAAATCCCATTAGTCATTTTAATCCTTTCTGTAAATTGCTTTTGCTTCTTAAACCTTGAATTTCAATTGAAAGAGAATTATTTTTTTAAAAAGGGCTTTATCAAAATTGGAATCTAATTTAGGTAAGAGCACAAATGTTTCTCTTAACTCTTTTCTCTCCATAGCTAATTCTCACCATGATTATGGATGATAATACTTAGGTAACAATGCTTTATCTCAACACAAATGTGGACCCTCTCATTCCAATAGATTCAGAATTATTCTCTAAATTAATCCATGCACAGAGTCACATTGGAGAAAATACTCTATAGCAGTACTAGCAAAGAATCTTTGTTTTGTGAGGACAGTATACAAGTTCAATGTTGCCTCAAAGCAGCTCAGGTTTCTGCTCTGGGCTTATCATCTCTACTTCTCCACCAAAGGGATTGGCTAATTTCCTGGCCTTATTCTGAGCCATATTTTGTAGGCAGTGTAGTCTCAGTGAAAAGTTTAGCCATCTATATTGGGATGGCTCTTACTGGTTGTTTTATCATTTGCAGTTAGAAAGGATGAAGGACTTGATAATCTAATATTTTGTGGCTTGCTCTTTAGCTGCCTATTTTTTCTTGTTTGGCTGGTGATCAAAAAGTTTAAGTGCCATAGTCTGAGAAAACACAGACAGTGGCCTAGGCCAAAATTTTCATGATCTCATTGGTCTCACTATTGGATTCTACTTGGCCTGGCCATTCATTGACATTAAATATGAGTCACAGACAGTCAATATTCAGTGCGCCTTAGAGAAAAGGCAGACAGGAGACCACTTGGCTTGTCTGGCTTGTCTGTGTTCGAAACCTGTCTCTATGATAACAGTTGGTGATCTGGCTTAGCTTGCTTATATGACCTACTTGGCTCCCACACTTGGTTTGGGGTCAAAGACTTGTAGAAATTAAGTGGCTATTACATGGTCTTATTTCCTATAAGGGCATTTACTTCAAATATTTCATAGGGTGTTAGTGGACTGTTCAGGAATTTGGGAATTCAGAAATTCAGTAAATTTTCCATGTACGTTCTCATTAATTCTCTTAGTATTAGAGAAGAGGAATAAATAAAAAGTGTGTTGTAGTAGGAAAAGCACATATGATTCAGTAGCCCTTGGTTTTGGTCCTGTCTCTGCCCCCAGGTGGTTTGCCTTCTGATAAACCAGTTAACCTGTCTAGGTTGTAGTTATCTCCAGTATCAGATGGGAAAATTGGACTCGACCACCATTTTCTAACATATACTTCAGAAGAAAAAAGGGCTTATTTGTCAAGTAAATATGGGCTATATCTCAAGTATTGTATAACCTGCATCTTTGTACTTTAGCATGATCAAGGCTTATACATTGAATCCAGTTTACCTAGCTTTTTGCACATTTTACATAATATCTATAAATATGTAGGCACATCTATATATATGTGTGTATGCCGAAATATAGGCTTATATATGAATATGGATATTATTTGGGTATGAATATGGATATCCAGCCCAAGAAAGATGTTTCAGACTAGCTAAAAATTCTATGCTTCTAGGTGGGAGACGTCTACTTTTCATATTGTTGGAAATCACATTGGAAGTTTTCATCTGAAAACCTTCAACTTTAAGTGACATAAAACAAGACCTAAAGAATAAAAGCTGAGTCAATGGCAGGGGTCTTAAACTTAGGACATTTAACTTTAAGTGTCTACGTCATCAACACCGGCAGTAACGAGCTATGTGCCCTCCTACAGCACTGTGGCAGCTTCCTCAAATACCTCCACAGTGGCTCTTCTTTCCAGACCACTTCATTAGCCCGAGTGCACTAAAGTTGGGGGCTATGACTCAAGCATGTCCAGAGGACAAAAACTAACATGGTGACAAAGTAAAACAGAGGTAAATTATTCTCTTCATAGAAATTGAAGTTGTTGCATCTGTATTTCATTATGACACCAACATTAGTGCACTAAGGCAGAAACCTCAAAATAATGCAGACTACTGGGTAGCACTTGGAGAAGTTTGTAATGCATTGCTCTCCTTCCAGGGAGTAAATAAAATTACTGTGTAATGTGAGAACAGGAAGAACTCAACTTCCAAGGTTTTGCTTAATCCCATTACACTATTATTCTCATGTGTGCTTAAACAGAATTTGTCTGAGATTACTTAAAAGAAGGTATGAAAATTACATGACAGCTTCTTATGTTCTACTGGGCTAAGAAGTTAGAACATAATGAACCCACTTTGTAGCATCAAAGGACTTTCTAAAGATAAGACACATTGATCATTATTAACATATTATCAGAAACAACCTGTATACCAGATGTGGTTTGAGATGATGTCATCTTAGCTATCAGGACTTAATTAGAAAGACTGTCTATAGCACAAGCAGGCTTAAATATTTCCATCAACTTCCAACATTACACATAATGTGAGAAGTAAATGTTCATAAAAAACAAAACAAAACAAAACAAAACTCGGCAACAAACGTTCATAGCCTTACTGGGAAGGACTATTAGGAAGTGTCTCAAGAACTCCACGTTCACTTGAGAAGAGAGGAGGCCTTGGACATGAAATTGACATTAAACGATAGAAGCTGAAATTATTCAAAGTATGTTATTTCAATAGAAATGGTATTTCATGAAAAAAAATGTGTGCACATACACACTCAAATTGTTAAAGCAAAGTTAATCAACTATTTTTTTGCTCTCTCAACTTTGAATAATAAAATTGATTTGGGTAGTAAAATTAATATTAGACAGATAAAATATTTATTGGTAGCAACAGTGCTGTCTTGCGTGTGTTATTTGTTTCTGGAAAAAATGAGCAAAGTGGCTCACTGGGAAATATAAATGAAACACTTTTGCAAATTAAGCATCCAAAACACATTTTTGCTAAGCACCCCGTAACTCGATTTTAAACCAAAAGCTTACCCATTTTATATCATAATCCACCACCCAGCTCCACCCCCTCACCTCCTCACTAAGGAGGCATGCACAAGTATTTCCACTCACAAATCAGGGTACTGCTCCAGAAGACGAAACTACTAAGGACATTAAGGAGTGGTAGCCAACATGAACTTGACAACCAAACAACAACCTGTATTATCACCCCGCAGTAGAGAGCCCTGCTTCCCACCTTGGAAATGTATTTAACCCATAACCTCACCCTAAACTCAAACAGGTTTCAGATAGAAAGATAACGATGCAAAACCCCTTCCCTCCCAAAGTCAAATATCTGGATAAACAGAAATGAACTGTCGGTTACTAGGCTGCTCCATGGCAAGCACGCGTATTTTAAAACTTTCACAATGGTTATTAAGCCTCAACTTCTGCAGGGTCTGTGTCCAGCTCTGAACCAGACCTGACCAAGGGCACACACTGGGAGCGACCACTTTACCTTCCGAAAAATCAATCAGTCCCAGCAAATGAAGCAGCTTCAGAGATGCACATATAATCACAACAATACCCACTGTTTGCAGTCCTTCGGACTCCCACTCGAGAGTCAACATCCTTCAGGAGGGCAGAGCATCCCAGCCTCCGGACCCCTTTTGGAGTGGAGGGAGTTAATGTGCGAATCCCAGCGATGTCTGGCTTGGAACAAAGACTCCTGAAGGGAGAAAGTGAGCAGCTCCACTCGGAAGCGCGGGGCCAGGCAGCGGCCCCCCGGGGTGAGGACGGAGCTGGGCTGAGGTCCAGCCTCTCATGCTGATGCTGGCATCTGCCTGCTGGGGTCTCCCAACCACAGCGCGCTGGGCTGGGGACTCGGCAGGGCTGCCGCCAGCGAGCACTTGGACTTTAGAGCTGCGAAAGAGACATCTGTTGGAGAGCTGGAGACTTTGCTGTGCGGGTGGAGAGAAGAGACACTCCCAGGAAACTTGCCCCGGAGAGCGCGGCGGCACTCCACGCCGAAGCCGCGGCACGGGGCTGCGCAGGGCTGTCTGCGCTCTAGTTTGCTGCCTGGGAGGCTTGCGAATGGCCCCTTTTTTGCCTTAGAGGCCTCTCTCTCTCTCTCTCTCTCTCTCTCTCTCTCTCTCTCTCTCTCTCTCTCTCTCTCTCTCTCTCTCTCTCTATCCAGAGCTTGCACTGCGAGAGAGCGCAGCCCCCCTCTTGGGATGCTAGGAAAACATCAGTTTTAGTGGCTGCTGACGACAGCCCCTTTCGGAAAGCCCCTGGGGAAGCCAGTAGTCAGCTTTAGGGAGAAAAGTACAGGGGCAAAAAATCCGTGATTCAGTGTCTTTGTCGCAGGACAGCATCCACGCCCCCTCCCACCTGCTGCTCCCCTGGGACTGTTCTGGTCCTGCCGACACATCGGGAAATTGATTTCGTCCTTACACTTACATACAGGCATGGGTGGCGGGCGGGGCAGAGCAGAACCCCTGTGAGAATGCCGATGTTGACTAACTGTCCCCTGAAGGGTGAGTACCACGAGCAACCTTTAAAGCCTCGCTTCAGCCTGTCTCCAAAGTGAAGTTTCACAAACTTGCTTGGTGATAGAACTCACCACGGGTGCTTGTTAAAAAAGCGCTCTCTTGGAGTCCGATGGAGAGGATCCTGGAGCTTGTGTTCTCAGAACAAGAAACTAGATGATTCCTACCAGGGAGGCTGGGCTGTGCTGTCCCGAAGGATCCCAGGGCGATTTGATTCCAAACGGGGCAGGCAGCCCAGACATGGGCGCGGACTCTGGGCTGGGCCGGACAGCGCAGGCTTCACCACGCGCCTGTTACCTCCACTCCACGGAAGCCCAGCCCCACAGCAGTGCTGAGGAGAGCTGACAGGCACCCTGCCTGGGAAGGACTTTTAGCCCCTGGACCTGACTGTTAAACACAGGGTTTATGAGTAATAGCTTAGACCCCGGGGGAGGGGCCTCTTCTGTTTCTTCCTTTAATTTCCTTGCTGTGCAATTTTCTGCAAGACACTTACCCTCCCTGAAAACAGTTTTTACTCTCTGATGTTGCAATTGTAATATTGTACTTCAATGCTTTCTATAAGTTTCCCCATTTAAAGGCAATCCTGGGAATTCAATATGTTCATAATAATAAATATTTACTGAGAATTGGCTATGTGCCCATCAGTATTAGAATGATTTATCAACAATTAACTCACCCCCACAGCTCACTTTATAAAAGAAACTGAAATATAAAGAGGTTCATTTACTTGCCAAAGCTGGGGCCACAGCGCTTAGTGGGCAATACTTATCTACTCATTCATTCAGTTCTTCATTAACATTTATTAAGCTACTATTATGAGCTATGACTGGTTCAAAATGACAAAAGAGCAAATAATGCCCAAACCCGTCCTTACTGGTTAACAGGGGAGGCAGACATAAAGTTGGATGTGATCAATACATGCCCCAGCACTTGAAGCAAGGCTTTACAGGGAACACTGGGAGCACAAGAAGGGAAATTCAGCTCCAGCTGGGGAAAGGAGGGTGGCAGTAACCGGAAAAAGACTTTGTGGAGGAGGTCACCATCACCAGTGGTAGCTTTCATTGTTATTAGAAGCTGTATATCATACACGAGCTTTACGGTAGGTAGGCTTGGGTTAAATCCTGGTTCTGTTGCTTGTTTGCTGTGTGACCCTCGAGAAATCGCTCCATTTCTGAGTCTCAGTTTTCTAAGTTCAAGACAAGAACGTGACTGCGTCTTCCTCATGGTTGGTGTGAGAATTCGCTAAAATGGAGAGCAATGCTCAGCCGCTGGCGCCCACCCTGCCCAACACATGGTAGTTGTGGGTCCTGACAGAAGTGGCAGCTGTTTAGAGGCTTTGCTGGGTTGAGATGGAGGCAGTGACTGTGGAGAGCAGGAGCAATAAAATGACATTGGTTCTGTCAAGATAGCATGCGATATATAAAACAGAATGGAGTCACGTCAACCGACATGGCTGCCAGTCAGCCATGACGCTTTGGTTCAAGAAGGAAACTACCTAAGTCACACTAGACACATCTGGCAAGGAGACACACCTAAGATATCTGCACATGTGACCAGAACAGCCATGCCTGCAGAGGAGAACCACCCACAGATAGGCCCCTGGGGAAATTCCCCACTTGCCATCAAGGGTGCCAGGACATTTATCTCTTAAGAGACCCTGGAAGATGGAGTACTCCACTTTCAAGCTATAACTGAGGCAGGCTCCAGATTGCTGCCGAGACAGCTGAGCTCCCTGGACCACGCTGATCTGACTGCCATGCCGATGGAGGCTCTGCCCTGCTGAACTGAGGACTTTTCGTCTGCCCTGCTGCCCACCTGGCTCTGGAGAGCCTTCCTTGTAAGATGCTGACGGCTCCTTTGCCCACCATGCTGTCTCCTAGACCTGCAGATTGAGACTCTGGGATTTGGGTTCATTATCCCGTTTCTCTTGTGTGATGTTATTGCTGATTGTTTCTGAGTGATTAGTATAGTTATTAAGTTAGTATGGATTTGGAGTGAATCTGCATTAATAAAAGCTGAGTGAACCTGCATTAATAAAATCCAAGTGAATAGCATAGTCACCTGTGTTGGCTCCCTGTTATTTCTCGGTGCTGGTGTCACGTGTGCAGGCGGCTTGGCACTTTCTGTTCTTAAGACCTGGCTCTGACAGCCCGAGAGGGGACCAAAGGCTGACTTACAGGAAAGACTATATTGTGACCATAATTATGCTCGTGACAGTGACTTTGTGCTTCACTGGCCCTGACACTCCTCCTTCCTCCTGGCTCTAGCTCTTGTCTCTTCCCCAGGGAGACTTCTTCATCCCCACCTACAGGCGATTTTTCTTCTCTGGGCACCAGCAATACGCTCAGGTCACCAAGTTGGGGCTTATCATGGTGCATTTCATTTCAGATATGTTTATGGGAGATAGCTTTCTATGAATCTGCCTAACCACCTGTCCATGTAATAGATGTTTACAGTTGTGTCTGCAAGCCAGTGAAGGGGAAGCAGTTCTCAGTAGTTGATTGGAAAATGCATGTCTTAAGTAACCATTCTCTGAAATTCCTGCCAACATAAAGCCATAGAGAGTAAAAAGTGTAAAAAGAAAGTTACAGAAATTAATTAGGTAAAGTCAGCTGTAACTGTCTCTTTTAATCTTACACAATACCATCTTATTGCTGAAAAAAACACAAAAACCTAAGGTACAGAATTAAGTGACTTCACCAAGGTCACATGCTAGAAAGTAATAGTTCCTGAATTCAAACATTCCTTTGTCTGATTCCCAAATTTATTCTTTTCCTATAATACCCCTCAGCAGATTTCAGCAAATATTTTTCAACTAATCCCTTGATTTACAGAGTTAGGCAAAGTGTTTTAAAATTGCCACACCCATTTTCCAGGAAAGAAATCCCAACAATTCTTGAAATTCACATAAACACCCACAAATGGGCCTTTGCTGGCTCTAGGCAGGGCTTCCCTTCCGGACAATGGCATTATTGCAGGGGCCACCAGCTGAGTATCTCGGTGGTTCAGCCCTTGCCTATCTGTTTAGTTCCCTTTACCACTTACCTGAGTTCTTTCTGTTGCCTCCATTTATAAGATCTGGCTCTCACAGGATAGATACCATGGTCTTTTACATGAATTTTGTAAGGTGATAGTGCCATCCAAGAGTTTCTGAGAAATTTAAGGAAATTGGGGAGACCTCAGGCAGAGTGTTTTCCTAGGGGCATTTTGGCAAAGAACAGTGGGCTAAATATTATTAAAAAAAAAAAATCCAGATCACGGTTCTGTCACTTTGTTGCAGTAACGTGCAAACCTCAGTCCCTTTTGTTGCATTAAATTATGTCCTGGCTTTTTCTCCTCTTTCCTAAGACCACACTTTTCTTTACATTGTAAGGGGTGTCCAGCAAAGTTTTGCCTTTTACACCAAAGGAAAGGAATACAAAAAGGATAAACTAACATTTCCTGCTCGCTTAACTCTAAGTCATTCTATGTACTTCACATGTATAAACTCATTTAATCTACTCCAAACCAGAGTTATCTGTTATTATCTCTATTTCAAAATAACGCTAATAAAAAATAACGGTTATTTTTGGGTCATTTTTAATATAAAGGGTCATTGAGTTTAAATTATTTTTACAAAATCACATTCAGTAAGGGACACAGCCGGATTTGTCTCTGATTTACTCCCAAAATAATAGCTGCTCACATTTAAGGAGAACTTATAGATGTTGGACACTATTCTAAAATCTTTACATATATTCACTAATAAAGTTAAGAAAAATGTTAAAGGTGGATAAATCTACCTACCTACATATTGTCTCTCAAAAATACAGATAGAACGAGTATAGAGACTAGTTGTCAAATTTAAATTTAAGATTATTAGTTTATATTTATGTAAACCTTTAGAGATCATTTAAAGATTAAATAATCCAATTTTTTTATTTTACTAATGCTTAAAAGAGGTACAGAGAAGAGAACTGACTTGTCAAGCAAAGGATCTGGGAAGTGAACAATGTTGGCTTGAATTTCGTAGTTCTTCATCGTTTCTGAATTATTAACTACAGGTGAAATCAGAATGACAAGTTAAGAAGTAAAAAAAAAAATTAATTTCTAAAAGAAACATTTTCTACTCTCAGTCAATAGGAGTTAAGTGAAGCAAGACATCAATGTGGTTGGTGTCATCTAGAAGATTCCACTGAAAAGATAAGTCTGATTTAGGTTTCGAAAAATAAATGAGAAGAGGACAGAGCAAATAATGTGGACAAAGTTGGCGTGTGGCACTTGGTATCTCTTCTAATTTTAGGACTTTCTCACCCTCTGGTGCTCTCCATTCTACACCTAATCCTTACTTCTACCCTAAAGTATATCAC